TGCATCCGTGAGTTCACTTGGGTCCCAGTGACATAAATTTTGTCATCAAACAGTTTACTGAAATTGAGGAATTTCGATGAGCATCCCTAAATAAGAGCCTCAGTTTTCTGTCCTTGGCTGACAGGAGTGGCGTCCTGTGTGCTCTTCTGCTGCTGTAGCCCATCTGCTTCGAGGTTCGACTTGTTGTGTGCACAGAGATGCTCTTCTGCATACCTTGGTTGTAACTAGTTGTTATTTGCGTAGATGTCAGTTTGAAGCAGTCTAGTCATTCTCCTCTGACATCAATACATTTTATTTCTTTTTTGAGCCATTCTCTCTGAACTTCATGTCTGTGTGCCCAAATGAGTTGCTGCCATCTGATTGCCTGATTACATATTTGTGTTTATTCGTTTTTTGTGTGTATATAACAGTCGTTGATGAAATTCATGTTGTGGGCTGACTTTATTTGTATTTTTCAGTTTGACTGATAACCCCAAGTACAGAATCTTCAATGAAATGAGGTTTAAACTACATGATTTAATCAAGAAGTCAGCATCCTCATCAGCTTTTCTATACAAGAAACACAGAAAATACAGAATCTAGATTCATCTTGAGGTGATCATCCAGAAAATCCTAAGGAAATATTACGCTGTTATTTGATTTTAATATAACCTTTCAATGTAACCTCTAGTCCAACATGTATGACATCCTTCTGGGCTCTGGAAGCAGTGCTTTCCAGCTAGTCCATTTGTCATGACACCCCTATATTTCTTGTTTGTTTTTTATTTTATTTGGAAAAGCTAAATTAAGATGTGACATAAGGAGGATAGGTCTTAGTGCTACTCAGGTCCTCTGGCCAATGGTCAGTTGACATTCAGGATCCAAATTCATGTCCTTGTCGAGAATAATTCCCTAAAACGAGCCAATCTGTCATCGTTATCGTCTTTGTTTGTCTAAAGACTCTTGCTGTGTCCCATGATGTGAATTAGTGCCTAAGTGGATTTTGCTGTTTTGCAGGCTGTGGCTGAGCTGAGGAAGTCTGGTCTAGAAATGAACTTCACTTTCCTGAACTACGCCCAATCAAGTCAGTGCAGGAACTGGCAGGATAGCTCTGTGAGTTATGCTGCTGGGGCACTCATCGTTCATTGAGGTCAACTTTTTGCAGGGGCCACTGCAACGCCGCCACCCTGCCCTTACTATCTATCGCCATAACCCGACCTAGACACCCTCCCTCTCACCCCCCTCCCCCAGTTATGCCCACTATTTGCAGGAAGGACCTAGACACTCAAAGCCAATACAGTCTTCTTTCTGTCTCTCCCTCAGCTCTCCTCTGCCTTTTCTCCGCCAGTTTGAAGTGTGTCTCAGAGCTTTTGGTTGAAACATTTTGCTTGAAGTGCAGTTTTGAGATTTTGTAGGAGCAAATGGTTAGTGGAGATGGGAAGAGTATGCAGTGTTTTGGCTTGGAGTAAGCAATGAGAGGGGAAAAATAATCTTATTTAGGTTTTTGCAAGGACTGTAGTCCTCTTAGATCCCTTTTATTTTCCTGACTAAACAGATTTGAGTTGTAAAAATGCAATCTTTATATTTGGACTCAGTCTGTTCTCTTGTAATTTGCCTCAGAATAAGAATTAAAATAAAACTGCAGATATTAATGGAGACTATTTAAATGTTGCCAGATGAAAATGGAGTGTTTTGGCTGACTGCTTCAAGCTACATGCGATTTAAACTTTGAAAACAGTGTCATAGGTAATTACTACCATTGCTCAGCACGTGTTGTAGTTGCTAACAAAGGGCTGCACCCAACAAAGTTCACTAACCCCCCTTACTGTACAAAACCAAAAACAATATTATTATCCTTTTAGTTTATTAAACACAATATTTTAATCATATTTTATTCCTTTTTGTTTTCCTTATTTAGTAGTTTTAGATGTGATGATATTTACTCAATTAGTGTGTAGGTTTGAACAAAAGCCGAGTCGTCACTTGAGCTCTAAAGCCATCAGCCAGTTTGCCCAGTAAACTAGTGTATACAAACACCGCTTCCTGACTACAATCCCATGCTTTCTAGCATGCTAGAGCCAAACTGCAGTTATGTAGAAATACAATCAACGGTGGATATTGTGTGCGTGACTCCATCTATGAGACGTCCAGTCTCCGTTTACAACTCCACCCCGACTTTCTGTAAGTTACTGAACTGTCAGAATAGGAGAAAGACAGTTTTGTTACACATTCAGCAACATTTCTTTTTGTCTAAACAACAGGCAAAGCACTGAAGACCACAATGACTTGCTTAAATAAGATCTCTCCCCAGTGCAATGCGTGGTAAACCTTATCTGGATTTTTTTGATTGAGGAATGCCAAAATTTATTGGAAAAATGTAAGTTTTCATCCTTATATTTGGTTTACAGTTTGGAGAATTCATTTCAGAATTACTAATGAGACAGTGCAAGTGTCTCTTAGGCAAGTACTGTGCACAAGGCAATTAAAGATGGCTTGAGTATTAATATCAGCACAAATGCGTTCCTGGTAGTTTTAACAATCTACCCGGTGTTGCTCCCTGCTACGTTTTGGATTTATCGGAAGTGTCAAGCACAAATATTTTATTTACTAACAAGCGAAATAGTTGCTGCCTGAAATAATTCAGTTTCCAAAGGAATGCTACATGCAGACCCCCCCCCCCCAGTGATTTTTAGTAGCAGTTTAGGCTTTTAGTACCAGTAACGATAATAGGCAGCACACAAATGTCTGCTGTCCTGTTGTTTAAGATTGGAACGTCACTTTTCTCTGACTTTTGCTGCTAAAGTTGAATATTCCTATTTAAGCAAAGCAGTCCTCTAACATTAGCCCCTCCCCTCTTGGCACCAAAAGAGGCACCACACTCAGCATTAAACTACAGCATCTGTTCGAATGAAGTGGGCACAGACTGAAAGATGAAATCCCAGAATGGCTTGACCTCTATTGCTAATTTAAGGGAAACTAGTAAAGCATGACACACTGTGCTATTGTGCCTTTTATCACTGTTGCACATATACATATAAAGCATATTCTCACTTTTAGTCTTATTTTAGAATGTGTACTTGAGTTTTGTTTTTTCTCACGTGTACCCTCCCCTTTGCCTATTGCCTGACGGTGTCTCCAGCTCGCCCGACACACCAGGAATATTCTACCTGTCCCCTCGTCATCCGTTGGTCTAAAATGGCACCAACTGTTATCTCCTTTCTCCAGCAGGGAGTTGTATTCCTCTTTCTCCTAATCACCTCATTCCTGTAGAGAGAGACAAAGGCTAAACCTCAACACTGTTCATTTTCTGTTATATGAATATTTGTTTGTCTTTTAGAAATGTTTTTTGTATTTCTTGTTTTTTTCTTTTCTTTTCTTGGTTTGAGAATTGGAACTTACACGTCACAGACCTAAAAATATACTACTTAACTACTCCCTTAATGGAGTTTTTTTGATCTCAGGTTCCACTGGTAAAGCATCCCAAAAGGCTCTTCAGATGAGGCCGAGGATTCATGTAACAAAATGAGTAAAATGTACTGAAAAGCTTGTCTGCTCTGGTGTCTCGTTCTTCCGGTTTTTACAATCACAGAAAATGCACTGATCTCAGTCACTGACTACATTGAAACCAATTATGTTTTTCAATACCAAACACTCATTTTCACCCCAGTTTACCAACTAACAGACATAAGCGAACAATAGGTTTACAGTGCAGCTTCTATAATAGACATCCTGTGCAAACTACATCAGTCATGAAGCAATTTTAAGGCCAATGTGACCAACAGGGGGAGGCAGGTTGCATGACAACACTAGTGTGTTTATTTTGGGAGGTAAAATATGTGAGGACTTCAATAGTCAAGTTTTTGTTTCAGATAGGAACCGATTCCACTTTGTGGTCATTTTCAAGGTTATAGTTTGAGTTGGTGTTAAATTGTACTGTTATACTGAGAATTATTTATTATTTAGCGCATTCTTACTAATGCAGATGGTGGACAGAATATTACAAACACTAATCTGAAACTCTTTCAGCACCAATTGATCATTAAGTTCTTTTTCAAATAGGAAGGACACATTCTGGAGCAGTTTTACTACACTATAAGGTTTCCAAAATGTACCTATTAAAAAGGCAGCCGATTGTGCTTGTGTGTATTTGCACAAAACTACTACAGATTGTGTTGCTTTTTAAGTCTACCTTGCTTTATAGTACATATTTCTACTAGTTTTTTTACATACTTGACCACTGAACTCAAATTTCCTTTTTTTTAATTTTTATTTTTTTAAGAAAATGTGTCTATATAAGTGCTGTAGCTGTAACTTGACTAATGAACTCGGATGCTAGATAGCTGCTGCTGGTTCCTTACTCATGCCATTTTCCCACCAGAAGCATTTGATCAGTTGTAGAAGGAGTCATAGTACAAGTTGAAGTTAACAAGAATTCTAACCACCAATGCTAAGTCTTTAGTTACCCTTCACTTTTTAATTAACGTGGTTGGTTGATTATTTCTTTGTTGCAACCTTGCTTCTGGGCAATAAATCTTGTACCGTTCAAAAGCCTGTTTATTTCCCCTTAAATGGTCCCACATTCGTGGAGATGCATTTGCAGGTTGTGCACATGAAAAACTTGCCAAATCATCTCTGCCAATGTCAAACAGCTTATTCTGCTATTGACTCTTGTTTGATGTCGTTTATTGGACTGGATCACTGAAGTCTGAAGAAATAACACCAAAAAAGAGTGAATAGCAGAATAAGCTGTTTGGCATCAACAAAAAAATTTAGCAAGAATGGGCTCAACCCACATACTCAACTTTGCTTCTCAGCCCAATTGTATCCCCTTAATGCCCTTTCCTTACTTTTTTATGTGAAGTTTATTTTGCTTTCAAGGAGGCAGACTTTGTTATTTTTAGTGCAAAAGTTCCTCAAGCTCTCTGAAGGTCTTTTGGAGTTTTTCTTTGGCTGACATTGGCTGCTTTTTCATTCATTTTAAGTGCAGTCCTTGTACCTGACCTTTTTCAGAGGAACTTTTTTGTTTGTTTGTTTTGTTAAGCCACTTAATATTGACTTATTATTAAATAGACATAAAACAGGCAACATAGGCACTTTGTTGTCAGCGGCCTGTCACAAATACACATAATTCTTTCACATTTCTTTGGTTGAATATATGAAAGAAGCTTGGAGAACTCTTCTTGAAGACTACTTAAAGAAATGACAAGAAAATTTGACAGAGATATAAACGGCATTTCCATGTATGCTTGCACCTTTCAGTTTCCCATTTTCCTAGCAAAGGTTAAAGAAATGAGGGGTGGTTTGATACTTTTACACAGTATGTTTACTGGGGAATGAACACCAAAGACAATACAAGTTAAATGGTGTTGCACAGAGTGCTGAATTTGTATGTTTCCCTCATTTTCACATGTATTTAGAATCCATGTGAAAATGAGGGAAAGTATCAAATTTCTACATTTGCTACATTTCTACATTTCCTGATCTGAAAGAACAGGTTCTGATGTTCTGTAACAGTGACCTAGCTGTGTGCTTGTCATGGTTTTATTGAGGCTGAATGCTTCAAATGATTAATTTCAGTACTATATTCATACCGAGTTGAACATACCAAAAAAATGAACTTTTTGTGCAAATGCATATCATATATATCATCTGATCACTGAACCCTGAAGCTAGATACATTTATATAATCTATAATCAGGATTATAATCTGGACTTTGACTTTGCTATGAATTTTTGATGACTTCAGTCAGTCCTCCTGTGCCAGCTGAGAAACTCTTACTCTAAAGCTACAGGACTCTGAACATTTACCCTCATGCCTTTTACATATCACTTGGAAATACAACAAGAGCAACATAACTGAAGTGCACTTCAGGGATTGCCATGTACATCTGTAAGCAGTGGTGGTTTTGAGCACTTTGGTTACCTCTCATACTCAAACTTGTCATGTGTGTTACAGCTTTTGGAAATGTGACAGTTTAACATCAAAATGTCTTCCAAGACAGAGAAGGCTAATCGAGACATTGCCTCTAGCAATGTTTGTACCTACGCTCTGAAAGCTCAACCTGTCAACAGCCTGATGAACACACACACACCTCTTTCTTTATTTTGGGAGGAGTCTGCAAGGCGATTTACATCCATTGAGCTTCATACATATGCTTAGTTCGCGAGTGGAAACGGTCACAGCAGTTTTTACCGGCTGAGGCGAACACTTGCTAGGATGCACTGCCATCAGGGCTTGGTGAGCTTTCTCAGCTGTGGACTTGTTCTGGCAGGAGTTTGGCACCTGGTTTATCACAGGAAGTCACAGAGCTCCTATGGACGCTACATGACATGCCCTCCTGCTAGAACGGTTCCTGCTAGACTAGCCTGGTTCCTTCAGGAGATGCCGGCTTTCATCATCCCTCTACTTTTAATGCTCACCACGCACAAATCCACAATTATGGGGAAGTACCTGCTGCTAGCGACCTTTTGCGTGCACTACTTTCAAAGGTAAAAGCAGAAAAACAAGTCAGCTTTGTGCCATTTGCTATGCATGTGAAGGGAACAGGGAACATGTATTCACGACAGTAAACAGTCGTGAATACATGTATTCCTATTTACAATATTCCTATTTAATCTTTCCAACATAAGTGATCGACTTTGATGTTATTTAAAAAAAAGGAAAGTTAAAATCCCTCTTCTCTAACAGTTTGTATTTTCTATTTTACATAAAACAACAAAGACGTGGCGTAATCATCTTTTAGCTGCTGGATGTACATTACGTATTGAGACATTTAGTGAAAGCAAGAGACAAAATTTCAGATGGGGACCTAAAAAGCAAAAGAAAAAAACAAAAGGAGGTTTGAAAAGGATTTTTCCTGCTGCTATAATTCAAAACAACACTCTGAGGAATGCTTTCCTAACCTCCCATGAAGAGTGGAGCTTAGTGGCACCATTTTAGTTTTCACCTTAATGCCAAATCATTTATACAGTGTGCTTCCAGTGGATTGTAAAAACACAGCTTTTTCTGCATCTACCAGCATGGAAAAAATGTACCATTATCCCCGTCTTTTGCCACCCCTGTTGCATCTACCATTTTGTTCCCCAATCATAGAACATTTGTGTACTCGCTATTGATGAAAGGAAAGCCTTTCCCGCTGAGTGTGATGGTGACAGCGGGTTTGTTCTGCTCTCTAAATGGTTTCCTGCAAGGACACTACCTGCTGCATTGTGCCCAGTTTGATGATGAGTGGTTTACGGGCTATTGCTTTAAAATTGGTAAGTGGAATATTTACTCTTTGGATGTGAAAGTCAGAATCTAATTGTATTTTTTTTTATGTCTCATATACTGAGAATTCTTTTTTTGTTGTTGTTTTCAGGTTTACTGCTGTTTTACATCGGCATGGCCATTAATATTCACAGCGACTTTATTCTACGCAACTTGAGGAAACCAAAGGAAGTAATATACAAGATTCCTACTGGTAAGAGACAGATTAGTGACCAAACTCCCACTGTGCTTGTATTAACCTGCAGTCTACTTAATCTCCTGCAGGAGGTCTGTTTGAATATGTGTCTGGTGCCAACTACTTAGGGGAGATTGTGGAGTGGTTTGGATACGCTGTAGCCACCTGGTCTTTTCCAGCACTCTCATTCGCTCTGTTCACCCTCTGCTTCATTGGACCAAGAGCCTACTACCATCACAGGTGCCTAAGATATTGATGTGAAGGAGTTAATACTCAACTAAGGATTTTACCCACATGCTGTTTCTAAACCATTGTTGTTTCTTCTGTTGCAGGTTTTATCTTGAGAAATTCAAAGACTATCCCAAGTTTCGAAAGGCTTTAGTTCCTTTTATCTTCTGAGGGAAAACATTCATGTATTGCAAAAAACTGTTTACCGTGGTCTATAACATGTTATACAACATTGTTATTAGTGAGGCCTTAACGTGGAATAGTCTAGTTAGCTTGGTTTAGTTAGTGTTTGTATTTAAGAAGGTAACAAGGTGAAGTGTATCAATAGTATTTGCAGCTTGTGAAATTTATGCATGATGTATTAATAAATGTATTTGTCTTGTTTATTACTGATACTCATACAACCGAGTTTCCAAAAGTCAGGACTGCTGTTTGAAATTAAATCAAATGTAAGAATCCACTGATTACCAATTTTACCAATCTTGCTTCAAAACTGCTGGTGCCATAATTTTTGGGACAATTTCACAGCTTTTGTAATTTTGTGTCCGTAGACCATCACAGTGGGATTAAAACTAAACAAAAAGATGTTAGTTTCAACTCAAATGGTGTAACAGCAATAGGACCATAGCCCACCATTTTCAGTTGTTGTGAAAGTAACTGGAAACTTAACAGACAGCCGGTTTCAATTGGCCAGGTGAGACCAGTTCTGTCATTATTCTGTGACAAATGAGATAGAGATTTGGAGTCGATCCAGTTGTTGAATTTTACATTGGAACTTAACATGAGGTCTAAAGACATGTTGATGCAAGTGAGGCCCTCATGAGGCTGAAAAAACGGAAAGTATAAATTAAAAACAAACCTCTCTGTTTAAGAATGTACCAGCAAAATGAAAAGCCCACAGAAGGCAATTACAGTATGTGATGGCAAATTCCTTCTTTGATTAAGAAAAACAACTTCTCCACCAGTGGAAATGTGCCACTAGTATTTAATGAAGTAGCAGGATGAACTGTGAAGCGTACAGGCCAATACTCTCTGCTCCAACTCAGCCAGATGTTGCAAAACTGATAGGAGACCCTTTCGCAGTGCAAATGGAAAATAACCCAGAGGCTACTGCCAAAGAAAGACAAGAGTTTCTCAAGGCAAAGACATGGGATATTCTTCAATGGGCAAGTCAGTGACTTGATCTCAACCCAACAAAGCGTGCTTTTCAGTTACTGAAGACAAGACTGAAGGCAGAAAGTCCCACAAACATGCAGGAACTGGCTGCACTGAAGGCCTGGCAGACTATTGATGTTGCCTAATACTGTTTGTGAGCCACGGTTCAAATTCAAAGACTATCCCAACTTTCGAAAGGCTTTGTCCATAGGCTCTAGACTTCAAGCAGCCATTGACTACACTGGCTACAAAGAATTTTTATCCAAGTTTTAAAAACAATCTTTATAATTAAAATTTTATATAAGTATATATATAACCTCTTGAATTAAAGCTGAATATATGCACATCTGTCACATTTGATTAAAAATCTACTTCGTTGGTTTACAGAGGAAGCATTACAAAAACTAATGGACCTAACTACAAGGCTCCAAAAAAAACCCCCAAACTTTAAAGTTACACTTTTTAAAATCAGAATACAGCATCAAGTCAGTGAATCGTCTGGGATATTGAGCTGGTCAGTCCAGTAGCAGAGGGGGTTGTTAATCAGTTTCTTCATCAGTTTCCTCTTTGATGTTAATGATATTAACGACAGGTGCACTAGATGGGCAACAATGAGACGAGCCCCAAAACAGGAATGGTTTTACACGTGGAGGACACTGACACTTTCGCCTTTTCTGTTTTGCATTTGGCTTAGAGTCAGAGTCACTACTGGTAGCACGAGGCAATACCTGATACCAGAAGGTTTGCTGAGTTTCCCATCACGGTCTCAAGAGCACGGAGGAGATTCCAGGGGACAGGCTCTGGGAGAGCTGGACAGCTGTACATGTAAAAGGTCCTTAACACATCAGCAGGACCGGTATCTGCTCCTTTGTGCAAGGAGGAACAGGATGATCACTGTCAGAGCTACAAAATGACCTCCAGCAGGACACTCATGAGGGTGGTCTAAGGGCCTGATGTCCTCTAGTGGGCCCTGTGCTCACTGCCTGGCACCGTGGAGCAGATTAGCATTTGCCATAGAAAAACAGAATTGACAGGTCCACCACTAGTGACCTGTGCTTTTCACAGATGAGAACAGGTTCACCCTGAGCACATATGACAGATGTGAAAGGGTCTGGAGAAGCCGTGGAGAATGTAATGCTGCCTTTAACATGTGGGTGGGTGGGTGAGTGATGGTCTGAAGAGGCATATCCACTGAGGGGCACACAGACCTTTACAGGCTAGCCAACGACACCATGACTGCCATTGGGTACCAGAATGAACCCCATGGACCCACTGTCAGAACCTATGCTGGTGCAGTGACTCCTGGGTTCCTTCTGATGGATAACAATGCCCAGCCTCATGTGGTGAGAGTAAGGAGAGTGTCAGGGTACTTGGTCTCCTGACCCAGCATGTTAATTCTTTGTGATTTTTTTGTATTATTGTACTTGTGTGAGTTATTCTATGGTTTCTAGTTTTGATCCCTTGCCCTTCATGTTTCTCTGTGTCCCCTCTGTTCTGTGTAAGTCTGTGTCTGCATGTTTGAGTTTCCCTCTGTGGCTTTCGGTTCTTAGAGCCCTCTGCCTTAGGTTTACGTCTCTGTGTTTCTTAGTTGCTGTCTCCACCGTGTCAAGTTCGCGTCTCTGTGTCTTACTTCCTGTTTTACTTTGAAGGTCCGTGTCTTATGTGAATGTGTTCAGGTTACGCTTCCTTGTCTCGTCAGTTCTGATTTCCCCCAGCTGTGCTCTCCTTCTGTGTCTCATTCCCCTCGTTACTTCCCAATGTATTTAAACCCTGTGTTTCTCTGAGTCAGTGTCGCCCCTCATGCCGTGTGGATCTCCCTGTGAGTTTAGTGTGTTATTCCCCAGTTTAGTTTACTTTGTATGCTCGTTTTTCTGTGACCAGCAAATAAACCTGTGGTTTTGAGTTCATCCCTCGAGTCTGTGAGTCCTGCATTTTGAGTCCTCATCTCTTGCCTGCCACACAGCGTTTTATGACAGAACGACGCGACCAGACATGGACTCAGCAGGCTCCGCCCGGGAAATTGATTTGGCCCGCATCCAAGGTCTGGTAGAGCGGATTTCCCACACTGATGATGTTCGGGCTGTGACTGTAGGAATCAAAGCCATTGAAGCCATCCTCGAGAGGAACCCCCACTTTGTTCAACTCGGAGGATTTATGGACTCAATAAACATGGTGCGCGAGGCCCGGGAGGTACTGCAAGCCCGAGAGTTAGCTATTCTCGCCCGCTCCCGGTATTCAGCACCGAAGCCACCAGCGCTGCAGCAGCAGATGGAGCTCTCTGCAATGCAGCAGCGGCCATTAAAGCGCAAGGGGGTTGTTAAATCAGATTATTAATCCCGAGACTGTTTTTCCACAAGCTGCATTTTTCAGGTCCCCGGGGGGTTTGTGTGTTTCCGTTGAGCCTGAAGACAAAATAACGAGCACTGCGAAAGAGCTCTAGGTTTGCGCCCACAAGGACAGATTCTATGGCAATTCCTGAGACTGCTACGCTCTACAAGGCTTCCCCAGAAGCTGAGTTTGTAATTTCATCTGAATCTGGACCCCTGGAGACAACAGAATCCACTCAGCCTGTGACTATTGACGGTTTCTTGGCTTACTCAGAGCAGGAAATAAATACCTCCAAGACTGTTTTTCCCGAGACTGCTCTAGCCCAAAGTGAAGCTCACTTAGCTGCCCGGCCTACTGAAGCTCACTTAGCTGCCCGGCCTACTGAAGCTCCATTCTCACCTCAGCTATCACTCCAGCCTCCTACATTGCCTTTAGGCCAGTCTGCTATTCATTGTTCAATTCAACCTTTAGTTCGGCCACTTGTGCAATCCATAGCTCAATTACCCATTCAGTCCATTGCTCATGTGCCTAGTCAGTTCCGAGCTCAGTCTCTTGCGTCGCCACCAGTTCAGTTCCCCGTAGCACTTCACTACACTCAGCCAGTCAGGCTGCTACTCAGTCAGTCATTCAACCTATAGCCCTGCCATTAATGCACTCTGTAGCTGAGCCGTTAGCCGCCCGGCCCGCAGCCAATTCAGCCACTCCTCCACTCGTTACACCTCCACCACAACCGTCACTGCAGTTCCCGGTTCAGTTTCCTGCAGCTCAGCTGTCCCCAGTGCAGTCTCCCTTAGCACAGTCATCCACTCAACCACCAGCTCCACTTTCTCCCCAACCGTCACTACTACCTCTAGCTCAGTTTCCTGTGCAGTCACCCCTAGTTCATTCTCCTGTGAAGTCATCAACTCCACCACCCACTCCACTCTCACCACCACCGTTACTACAGACATTAGTTCAGTCCCCTGTGCCAGTGCAGACGCCCTCAGTTCTGTCTCCCGTGCAGTCATCTACTTCACCACCATTAGTAGCTCAGCTCCCCATGTCTCCAGTAGCTCAGCTTGCACCTGAACCACTAGCCCAGTCCCATGTAGCAGTTCAGTCTTCTGGTCAGCTTAACATTCAGCCAGGGGTCCCAATGCCCTCTGGTTCTACATCGGCTCCTGCTGGAAGCTCGGATGAGTCCATCCAGCACTCCGTGGCTCCCACGCCGCCACCCGCCTCGTCCACTGGGGGTTCTGGTGAGCCCGGCTCTGTCACCTGTGCCACCCGCCTGGTCGCCCCCGACCGTTTGACTTATGAACTTTTGTGCCGGCGACCTCCGGGTCGGCCCCCTGACTTACTATTGAACTGTTCTTTGTGCGCCGGTGTTTTCTGTGCACGTGTTGTTTTTGGACTCCTGGTGCTCCTGTTTTGTTTTGCCACACAGCGTTTTATGACAGAGTTCCTAGAGAACAAAGGAACTGATGTTGCTGACTGGCACCCACACTTGCCTGACTTAAATCCAATAGAACACCTCTGGGAACACCTCTAATGACAGGAGCTCAATGATGCCCTGCTCCAGATCTGCGAGGAGATCCACCCCAGGACACCATCCGTCATCTCATTAAGGGCATATGCAGACGTTGTCAGGCATGCATGTGGGGGCCACACAAACTACTTACTAGTATTTTGAGTTGCTTTAATGACATTTCTGCAAAATGGACTAGCCTGAAGTATCAATGTTTCATTTGTATTTATGGGGTGTCTTTGAATTCAGCCCTCTGCAAGTTGATAATTTTCATTTCCATCCAACAACATGGTATCTCTTTATTGCTAACACATTACCCAGTCCAAATTACTATAAATGCCCAGCATGATTCCTTTCCCCATACACATCAGATGTGTTTTCAGCATAGTTAAACATTAATGCTACCTTCACAGATATAAGTTACCCATGTACTAATGTACCCCAGTGCCAGCATGGGTTTTTAAATGATATGCAAAAGGACTCCCTACTGTCTAAACTTTTTTTTTTTTAAATTTGAAACCAAAAAGGCAGCATTCAGTCCTCATTTTAAACCCACAAACCAGAATTCCACACTACACAAAAAATCTGTTCCGCTAATTCATATCTTGAATTATATATTTAACATCCAGAGCAAGATTAGCAGTTTCCACAGCAACTTGCAATGCGCTGAGTTTAGCTGTGAAGGAGTCTAGTACACGTGGCTGCACACGAGTGTCTCTAAACACCGGTGATGGACAGAAATCTGAATATTTAGTGTTTAGATAAGTCCACTTCTTACTTGGGCTACTTTGTACCAAACCGCAGCCACAGAAGCCCAAACTTTCCTCCATGGTTTCTTTGATGGCATCTGCAGGGAGCATCCAGCGATGAGCATGAGTCAGATCAATTAAAGAACTCCCACCATCGTGCTCCAGCGCTCGAGCTGCAGACTCCAGAGCACAGCAGAATAGCTCCACACCAAGAAGGTACTCTGTCTGTGAGCACATTAATACCGATGCAGTCTCTGGTACCTCACTCTTGCTCTAAGAAAAAAAATATGGCATCATGAAGGCATGTCATTGTGAAAGACACGTGAAATCAATAAAACTGGGGTAAGTGAAGACCAAGTACTGGATCTCACCTTGTGTCTAACATAAGCAGCCAAGTTTGTCTCAGTACAGCCACCCCCAACCAAGGCAAATGGTTCCCTTAGAGTGAGCCTCAGTACATGTTCTGCCGTCTGGCACACCACCTTTAGCACAAACACATCAGGAAGTGACCACTTTGTCACATTTACATGACAATAATGGGTATTCCATGACTCTGTGTTAAAAACGTATATTTTCTGAAGAAATTTGATCTCTCAATGGACGAACACTAAAACATTTACTTTGTGGGAAAATCCATTACTGACTTCTCATTTATTGAACTAACATACAGCAGGAATTGTAAATCTTAGCGATAGGGAGTCTTATGAGTGGAATCTACGTTGTTTCAGGCAATATGTCTCTCCATCCATCATTAACTCCAGAAGCCAACAGTACAGCTTTAACACCCACTTTATCTTACCTTCAGCTCATTTAACATGGTCTGGTTCCTGTGGCAGAGGATCATTGTGCAGATCGCAGACTCCCCAAGAGGGAATAAATGCAGCATTGTCTTGGATCCAAAGTGCTTTATACAGAGATCCCTCGCCTTCCCGTAGGTCTTGGGTGGGATTGTGGTATGTAATGTGGCCACAGGTTGAGCCCCTATTTGTAAAAGGTATGCAAAAAAACAAAACAAAAAAACCCCCACCATAAATAAAACAAGTATATTCCACTCGGACAGTAGATAGATTATTACAGTAGTGCAGTGAGCTGAATTGAAAAACAAATAAAGCTATTGGTGTTTAACTGGTGCTTGTATGTATGGCATGATTTTGCAGCCCACCTGTCAGCTGAGTAAGTGGCTCCATAAGAGCAATTCCCAGTCTCTCTACCACTATGACACCATGACTCCTCAGATATTGCTGCAAAACTGGGTGGATGACCTTCTGGCACATGAAGAGCTTCACTTCATCATTAATCACCTGTCTGCCAAGCTCCAGAAGTTGACCCAGGATCTGTGAGTCTGTGTCTACATCCGGGTGGGCCTCAATTACTCCATCTCCTAGTTCAGAAATGTCCCCAGCAAGAGACGCACTGAAAAGCACAACACTGAGGGGATTTAAAGGTTTGTCTTCCTCACTCAGGCCATCAGGCATCTCCACCAATAAACCTGGAAGCACTTCAGAGCTTAGCACAGAATGACCATCTACAGGAACAGTCACTATTCTGCCAAAACTGACTATACCTGGACTACTGCAGGGAACGGTGAGCAAAAAAGCTTGCACAGCCAGTTTGCTAATGTGAAGCGTCTCGGGCTCTGTTAGTACACATGCGGGTTTGCTGGAGATAACACTGCGAGCTAACGTGATCAAGTTCTGAGTGCTGCAGAAGTCGAGCTTCACTCTACAACCACAGTCTTCTCGTTGAAGGTAGCTGGTACACAGAGCGAGCAGGTAGTTGTTCACTCTGATAGCCACGCTTTCCCTGAGAGCAGACTTTTTGATTTGTTCAATAAGAGAAAGGCACAAGACAGCTGCAAACAAACCGCAGTCGCTGAAGCGAGAGACGTGGTTGAGGATGGAGGTTTTTATGAGATTGATAAAAGGCTGCGAGGAGGAAACGGATGAAAGAAGAACCGAGGAGGCAGAGGTGGTCACGACGTGTCCTCCAATGTTGTTGTGAACTTGTTTCAGTCTACCTGTGGGACCGAAACAAGACGTTAGTATCTGTTTCAGCAGGTGAAGCTTGCTGCAAATATCAGTGTTGTCCAGTGGCATATCAGTGCAAACAGATGGAGATTTCTTGCTGAGTCGAGACATGACCGAAGCACATTTAACATTGTTAAGGTAGACAGTACCAACATACGGCAAATCGGCAGTGATAAGTGTTAGCAATGATAGAATAGTGATGCTCGTAGCATTGCCTGACCAAATTGTGTTTTAAAAGAACGGGGAACAGTTGCAGATTAATTTATTAAATCCAACCAAAACCACCACTACCTTATTGTAGGGTCTAACATTTGATGCCATACATATTTAGATGTAATTTGACAGTGTGTAGTTTGAGAGATTGACAAAGGCGTTGTACAGACACAACTCGTTTCCATGGTAGCAACACAGCGCTTGGCCAAGCTGCGGTCCTACTCGAGAAACCGTCGCTTGCCTCTAGTACCGGCTTTTCATAAGGAATAAACCAACTAAAAGCGAATTTACGAGTCTTTATGTAGAAGAGTAGTTGTCTATCTCTATTATTATGATTTTATGCAAAAGGCATACACAATGAAACGTCCCACGCACAATGCGCTCAGTTATTGGACTACAAATTGAAGGTGACGTCATCTCCGGTCGCCCGGCTGTTGAAGAATCATTCAAAACTGTTGGCGGTATGAAGTTATGGTTAACTTTAATATACTTATATGTTTTATGTCTAACGAACGTATGTGTTATTATTTTACTTTATTATAACACTTGTTATGTTTTTGTAATTGTTGACGGTGGCCGTTTGTCGTACGAGCGTAACAAATAAAGAAATCTGTCTCTGTTGTCTTCAAAAAATACAGCTAATAGCTGCCCACCGTGCACTTACTCTAGTGAAGCTAACTGAATTCATGAGAATGGCTCCTATCAAACTTGTCATTAAGGTAAGTGAAACGATATACCCAGTACACGAATTCGTGCGGTGCTGCGTTGAATTAACATACTGTATATTATATTTGTTGATGATGAATGAATAAAACGAGGTAGAGAAGGGTGTGTGGATGGAGGACAGTACAGATCAGGAAGTACAGATGATTAGTAAAGAGGAAGTGAGGGCGGCTGTGAAGAAGTTAAAATTATCGTAAGACTCATTTGCGGAATATTTGTAGCAGTATGAGCAGTACTGTTTTAATTACTGGGATACTGCAGACACAGGAAGAAATCTACACAACAATGTAGGCTTGAAGAGAATGCAGGGTAGGATCCCAAAGGAAGAAATGTTGATTATTTTGTTGACAATAGGACATATAGGCTAAACCATACACTAGAACAGGCAAACACCGAACAGGTCTCTGCATTTATGTAATCCACCAAAACCTGTTGAACACGTGCCAATCCTTTGCATTAAGTTTGAGTGAAAAAGAAGAGAATCAGTGGCTTTGTTGAAGGACAGAAATTACGGTTTTACACTGAGGAATTTGTTACTGAAATCAAACAATTTTCTATTTAAATATCTTGAATTAGATGATTGATGCTAGTCTCCTGTCCACATTCCAGTCCACTAGGTGGCAGTAATGCACCTGTAAATTGGTTTTCCAACTTACAGGTGCATTACTGCATTGAAGAAAAAGCTACAAGAGGATGAAGAGTGGAAAAGCAGTTGGTTCAAATGACTTGCCTTTGGCGGCATAGAGATATCTATATGAGATGGAAGCATGTGATAGGATGCCAAGGAAGGAACTGTGTTATTGCACGAGGAAGTTAGAAGTGGCAGAGAAGTATTTGAGGGTAGTATAGAACATATATGAGGACACCAAGATGATAGTGAGGTGTGCAGTATGAGTGACAGATAGGCTCTGCGTGAGCCCATCCTTTTTGCTGTTGTGATGGACAGCTGAAATGAGATCTGGCAGGAGTCTCAGTGAACTGTCATTTTCACAGATGACTGTGATCTTTAGTAAGAGTAGGGAGCAGGTGGAGCCTGGGGAGATGGAGGTGTGTTCAGGAGAGTAGAGGAATGAAACTCATTAGAACCAAGAAAGAATACATGTGTGTGAATAAGAGGGAGATGGGTGAAGATGCAAGGAGTAAAGGTACTGAAGGCGCATGAGTTTAAATATCTGGGAACAACCATCCAAAGCAATGCACAATGCAGAAGAGAGGTGAAGAAGAGAGTGCAGGTAGAGTGGAGCAGGTCAGAGGTGATTTGTGGGAAAGGGATAGCAGCAAGACTGAAATGGAAAGTTTACAAGATGGTAGTAAGACCTGCTATGATGTATGGTTTGGAAATGGCACTGACAAAAAGACAGGAAGAGGAGCTGGAGGTAGCAGAATTGAGGAAATTCACATTGGTACTAATCAGGATGGACAGAATTCGAGATGAGTATATCGGGGGACACCTCAAGGTAGTTTGGAGACACAGAGGGCCAAGTCTGTGCATGTGTGCAGATGATGGATAGTGGATATGTTGAGGAAATGATGTTTGCTATGGAGCCCCCAGGCAGGATGAAAATAGATATACAGAGAAGATGAATGAATGTGAAGGAAGACATGAAGATGGTTGGTGTGAAAGAGAAAGATGCTAAGGATATGGTGAGATGTAGGCAGATGGTTAGTTGTGGGAGCGCGTAAAGAGATCAGCTGAAATAAGAAGGAGATAATATATATTTGTTAAATTAAAGAACATTGCGCTCCCATGTTCAGCTGCGCAACAGCAGTTGTACCTCAAGGTGCTTTACATAGTATGGTAAAGACAGAGTTTGAAATTCTTATCAACACTCATTTTAACAGCCTGCATCTCTGATGGTGCATTAATGCCTGTGGGCTTGCCAGCTAACACATATGGAATACACTCTCATCCAGATGATGTCTTTTTCAGGGAAGGCCTTGCATATTTCAGCAATACAATGCTAAAGCATGTATTGGGTCTATTACAACAGCATGGCTTCACAGTAGAAGAGTCTCAATGCTGAACTGGTCTGGCTGTATTCCAAACCTTTCACCAGTTGGAAAGATTTGACAGAATATAAAATGAAAAATAGAAAAAGGAAGATGCAAGACTTTTGAGCAACTAGAATCCTGTATCAGATAAGAATGGGATAATGTTCCTCTCCTAAAAGCTCAGCATCTGGCCTCCTCAGTTTACAGATATTTACGTTATTGAAAGAAGAGGACATGCTACGCAGTAGTAAACATGTTGCTGCCATCAAATTCAAAATGACTTTGTTTTTTTCTTGAATAGTACTACAATTTTCTCAAGTTTAAACATTTGGTATGTTTTCCATGTTCTCTTGTAAATAAAATGTGGGATTATAAGATTGCAGATCATTTAATTCTGCTTTTATTAACATTTTATACAGTGTCCCAGCTATTTTGGAATTGGGTCTGTAACTCTAATTGAAGTACATTTGCTGAGAGCTTTCCCAGTAAACTTTGCTCAGGGCTATAAAACTGTTTATAGCTTATTTCAGCGTCTTGTCAACAAGTACTTGCCATATGTATTTGGGAAATATTTTGCTTCTAAGAAGCTGTTTTGTGTTTTTCACTCACCACAAAATGCATTTTTCTGACGTAAGATGCACACAAGGTACCAAGCGACGAGATGAATATGCTTTCTTTTCAAACGTTTTAGCCGTCATGATAAACAGCCCTCTGTGTTTGTGCTACGTCCAAATAGTAGAACAGCTACACAAACTACTTCCAGCAAGTGACATGAGTTTTTATGGTCTGTGCTAAACCTTTGAAAAGCTCTCGTGCAGCCCTGGAAAATATGCAACCCAGCAATACAGCATGTGGTTGTTTTTCTAGCATTTGCTGTATTCCAATTCTGATGTAAGATTTTCTTTCTTTTTTTCCCCTCTAAGTAGCACTGTATTTGTCCACTAGAGGGCACTACAGATGCATGTTTCAGCTGCTGTTACCATGTTGTGGTTCATTCTTTAGAAAAAGTTGGAGTTTCTGGTCACCTTTTGGGAATCTCATGCCTTCCCAAGAGCCTTTTGTTAATGGGCACAACCATACGGCGAAGAGGAAACTCATTCTATGAAAAATCCGAGCTGTTCATCCTCAGTCTGTTGCTCTGACAGAAATAATGCACATCAGATGTTTTTGTTAAGTGCAGGGAAAGCCGTTGGTCTCTCTTTTGTTGATGTTTCATTTATTGAGAGTTTTGGATGAGGGGCTGCAGACATTTTCGCTGATCTCTCACATCCTCCGTAATGCCATATGTGCCTAGCTGACCAGATATTGCGTTCATTCCCTTTTATTTGTTTCATATGCATGCCTGCATACAGGCTACCCCACCACCCCCCTCGGTGGATGTGGGAGAGTAAAAACCCTGGAGGTTCACGGAAGGTTCCTTCCCACTGGGCACATAATGATACTGTTGTGTTAGTCTGCCTGAGAAAATCCACACAGCCTCTACCATGCTTAACCAGCTAACCGCAACAAGTATGTTAGAAAGGATCAGACCAAACAATAGCATTCAAGGCTCTGCCTATGGCTTCTCTTTTACAAGACATACAGCACTGCCACCATGTTTTCTTAATGACTGAATTAACTTCTTAGAATAATAAAGAGAAAAAAATCTCCTGGTTTCTGTTTTCACAGATGTTGTTGATTGTGTTTGCCATCTTGCACAGAGAATAAGGTTTATCTGAGAAATTATGATTTTTATGTTCTTGGATTCATTGGGCCATGTTCAGTAGGTTGTTCGGGGTGTTTTATGGTCCTTTCTACTGGGATGTTTTCAAAGCAGCTCCCTCCGTGGTCTGTGGAACTGCAGGAGGTGTTGGTATGCTCCTTCTTAAATAGGCTTAGACCATATAGTGACCTGCCACTTCTCAGACCTCCCGAAAAGGCCCTGTGGGCTAAAAGGCTGATCCACTCAAGTGCATGCTGTGTCTGCCAGGACATTATTGCTACAGAGCCCTGCAATCTGCCTTCTATTAAGAGCATACACCACCAACTTTTTACCCATCTAATGTAGTAAGTTGAGACAGACCAAAGTGTTTTTTTAAGGAATAAAAGATCTGAGTTATCACAGAGCAGTTTAATGTCAGAGGTTTATGTGCTGTTTAGTGTTATTGTTGGTCTGGAGATGAGCTCATAACAGACCACACATCGTGGCTCTGAACAAAAATGATTGCATTTTCTTCTTGGAAACATTTTTGACACTTTCCATTTTCAAAAAGAGAAAGTGACAAGGATAAAAAAAAGAGGAAAAAAACGCTTTCATCTCAAAACTGGCCTACATTGCAGTACAGAAATCACATCTCCTAATGAGGCAAAATGCTTCTCAGCTTGCTATTTCTGTATATCTACCAATTTCTCAGGGATGTGTCTGCCTACACTTTGTTTGCCGAGTGTTACCTGGAGATATTCTTGTCTGTTCTTGCTGCTGGAATTCCTCTCCTGGGTTGTGTCTCTTTTTATCATCAAATAAAGGAAACTCAGGTGTGCTAACATTCATCCAGAGTGAAGGGAGGCTTGGACACAAAACACTTTGGTGCACTGTTTGTAAATAACATTTGCATTTGGGAATAATCAAGTTTCTAATGTTAAGTAGCCAGTGGTTTGAAAAACTGGAAAACAGTTTTTTTGTGCGTGTTTTTTGCTTTTTTTTACAAGGGGAAACCCAGGTGACTCACAGCACAAAGAAAGAGAGCTGGGAATGAGAAAAATAAAGCCAAAGTTGTCACACCCACATATCTAAAGAGTTCCCCAGGGTGCTTTGCAGACTTGCAGAAAGAGTCAGAAAAAGAGAGACAAAGGGAGAGTTGGGATAGATGCAAGTTTTATTGAGTGAGACCGCATCTGCTGCCCCTTCTCTCCCAATGTAAACATCTGCGGCTGGTTAGTGTTAGCCTCTGAGCTAAGTGCAGTCTGAGAAGGTCTGGTTCTTACACTGCGATAGCAATGGCAAAGGGCAGCGAGGTGGGGAGGCGGGTGAAGCTGGGCTCCGTGCCCAAGTTTGAGCAGCGCAGGCAGGAGGTTTGGAGAGCTGGGTCTGGGAGAGAGATAAGGGAAGGTAAAGAGTGTTTTGGGAACTGAGTGTGACATAGACCAGAGCTCTGCAAACGAGAGAAAGTAAAAGAGTCATCGGGATGTGTTTATTTACAGGCAGAAAATAGAGAGGACCTTTCTTGTGTTGTGCTGTGGGCTGTGGGCAGGTTTAGTGTCTGCTTTTTTGGATTTTATTTCTCTTGGTTAACCTTTTTTTTCCCCCACGCAAGTTATCGGTTCAGAAGCAGGGAGACTTGGGATAGAGAAGCTGAGCCTTAGCCTGCAGGAAGACTCGGTCCTATCTATTCAATATGTGACAGCAGACCACAAAAGATGGCACAATAAAGGATTTGGGATTAAGTAGCGCTTCTTGCCGCCTCTCGTTCAGCCTTCAGCCTCTGTTCATAACTCTAAAGCCCGAGCAAAGCAGAGAACAAAGCGGTGCTGGCCCACTTTAGTATGTATGAAAAGAGTAACTTCCTCTTGAACTTGGCCCTTTATCAAACTGTTCCTTTCCAACAACAGTGGCAGAAGCTCTGAGTATTTCCTTAAATGTGTCACAACGTAAAATAGCTCTTCAGTTTCATCAGTGAATATGTCACATTTAATGAAACCCTTAGGGTCCTGAGTATGACATGGTAGAAACTGTCACAGAAAGAATAAAATATGGAGTTTTTACTGATGGGGTGATGCAAAATTTTCTGTTGCCTTTTTACTGTGTTTTCTAAAAAACAAAAGAGAGAGAGAGAGAGAAAACTTGTGGTTTCATCGCTGCATCTAAAAAGTATACTACTCCTTGCGAAGATCTCACTTTAAAAAGATCAATAAATAAACATACACGAAGGTTATGGTTCGTGGCATAGTTCAGCCAAGAGATGCACTGGTCACTCTTTGTGCTGGGAGTTGACAAATTTAGGCCACATGATGTGATTGTACTCAGAGCCTTTGTGCAAAATTAAATTAAATGCCAAATTCTGCTGCTATTTTGTCTTGTCTGCGACATTCAACATAAATGTCCCTTGTAAAAAGCTCTAGTAGCTGTAGTGCCCAAGCAGCACAGCATTGGCCAAGATATCAATACTTTTGCAGGTAATTTGTCTCTCTACCAAACTGGCACTTTTGCTGGGCAAATTAATTGGTTTCTCATTAGGGTGATTGCATTAGTTTGCATTCCTGACAAAATCCCCCGTTTCCGAGAATCTGGCAGAATCACATGCTGTTTTTGTATAAGGGCAGACCAGTGTTTATCATTAACTTCCAATTCCCAGTCGAGCCTTGTCTGCTGTTCTAATGTGATAAAAAGAAGTTAGTCTAAAGCTTGATACTTGTCTGGCTTGCAGCCCAAAGGACACTCACTCAGAAGCACAGAAACCACGTCAGGGGATTTACAATGCTATGCTTTTCTATAACGATCTCCCTCTGAACCCTATACTGATTGCATATTTTTAGCAAATTAATGTGACATCACACTTTTTTGTGATTGCAAAAAAGTTTGCATGATATTTTGTCCTTTCTGATGTCAACACAGCTGAGCAGGCAGATAACCGCTGGTCAGGTTCAGTCTCTGCCAGCACACATGAGATTGTGTGATTTTGAGCCATCTAATTCAATGATTGTAAGATTTTGAGAAAACAGAAAAAGTGCACAAGTCCAGTAGCCACAAAAATGTTGATAAGTGTCAACTGAACATTTGTCTTGCACATTGTCAGTAAAAACTAAAGATCATAAGGATCAAAGGGTGGTTAGACTGGATAATCTGGTAACTTGTACGCAGTGAAAAGAGTTAAGTCTTAGAAGTCGGGAACCAGTATACCAAAAAATCCAGTCTGCATGTGTCATCTCCACTAGCTGGTCTCTGTGTTTTGATTGACAGGGTCTGACCCTCTGTTGCTAGGTTTTCCCACACATGGGTATTTGTAGGAGGCCACCAGTCATTGGTGCGCAACTGTGAGACAAAGGTCAAAAGATGAAGAGAATGCTGATCTTTAGGGACGAGCTGATACTGACAGGCAACATGCACACAATTTAAACATGAGGAGCGGGCATTAAATGGGGCTCCGTTCTGGTTCGTGGGGTTCATTTCTTTGTGCATGCATGCTATTGTATAAGAACCTTTCAGTATTTTTTGCACACTCTGTTTTTATTTTTTAAACAGGTTTCCATTTGTAAATGTATTTTAACATTTAGACTTGCATTTTAACATGAATTGGCATGCATTAATGCTGTAGGGCTGCACATACTCAATACTACAAGACATGTCTGAGATTAAAACCAACTAGAAAGATTCACTTATCAGTCATGTGGGGGCACCCTCTGCACTCGTTTAGCTGTGGAAATAAGAAAGCAGATTCACTTCAGTTATTATAATACAGAAAGAACGAGAGAGGATAATGCTCTCAAGGGGAAAATAATGCAGAGTATTTGGCAGGCTGATTTGCTCACATGTAGCCTTTAATAACATTTGATGAAAGGTTCACAGCCAAGCTTTACTTTTACCAGTTGAGAAACAATGCAGTACTTTAATGAGCAAGCTAAGCTAATCTTAACTAACAAAAGAAAGCGACAACTGGAAAAAGTTTGGAGGTGGGAAGTGTACATTTGTGTCCAGAGTTAGAACATTAGTAGACGGTTATACCCCTGTGGGATGAGGTCTCTCACGTCATGCTGAGAGCATGCTGGATTGTAGAGTTTAGTCATCTTGTCTATAATACTATGCTTTAACACTAGCCCAGAGGATGTGCCTGCTTAAAAACAAAGCTTTCAGTGTGCACCAGTTTCCCCTGTTACTGAATGATCCAGTGATCCTTCTCCTCTTGTTACACACTCTTCAAGTTCCACAATGTGATCCTCAGGTCAGTGTCTGCTTTTGGCTTTTCGTGACCTTAGTGTTTTTGCACCGTCATTCTCATGAATGCTTTTTGCCGCATTATCACTCTGGGTTTTAGTACTCGCTGCTCCACTGTGTCATGTTGTGGGTGGTCTCAGTCCATCCATTACTTCCTTGACCATGGAGAGGCTAAGTTCACACGAGACTCACATCCATTTGCTCTCTGCAGAGGGCAGCTTTTGCACTCATGTGTAAACCATAATCAGGCTAGCTTGAGAAAGATGTAACAGCAACTTAAACAGCAGCGGCACTTTTGGCCTCCTTGTTCCTTATTGCTTATTGTCACAAGGACATAGTGCTTCAGGAATCCACCCTGCTGCTCTTGTCCTTTCTTTCTACAACACACACACAAAAACAAGGTTTTATTACCTCTCTGATACAAACTGGGATAATAATCCTCATTTTTATGGTACATCTTTAGATTTTCCCGTAGCTTACTGTGTCCTCAGGCACTGTATTGCAGATATAATTTACGCTGAGTGAGGGGAAATATGAGGAGACAAACGGGGCCATACTTTTTGTAAAGAGATTGGTAGGGAGATGGCTAGACAGAGAAAAAGGAGGGAGCGGACTGCTGTGAGAGGCCTGGGGTGATGTTTGAGGACACAGGGGGTCGTTGTGGTTTGTCTCGCTGTCAATCACCCGCACTTTGATTCCCTTTGTTGCCTGTGAGCTCAATGCCCCTCAGCAACCTGTGGCTATCCTTCCTCTTTGTGTTACAGTGTGGGAACTATGCTGTGCTGGTGGATCTCCACGTTCTATCCCTGGGCGGCCAAGAGGACACTAGCTGGTTCACTACGAGCCACATCGAGGTACAGATACGGGGAGATGGGCGTGGCTGTTATTAAGTGTGAAAGGGAATACATGGCGTCTTTCCTGCTGGAGACCTTTTCAAAAGGCAGAAGCAGCGTAGAATCTAAAATGACTCTGAGCCTCGTCTATTTTCATTGTTGGAGAACTGTTCCCATCTCCCTCTCAGCCACATGTGGAATTTCAGTAATCATCTTTGCCTCATCTGAACTTTAAACTTTACTTGTTACGCCAAATCAAATTTTGTGTTCTCTTACCAATTCAACATATGTTTACTTTACATACATTAAATATGTGTTTTTAGGAGGTTACAACCCTGGTTCAAGATTCTGTGGACCAGAGGGTTAAGCAGTATACCGAGTTCCTCCGCAATAGAAGACAGCCCAAACAGAAGAAGGAGCTGGCATCAGCTTCAGCCTTTTCTGTGGAAGGTAAAACCCCATTATCCCGACCCTCGTTATACTGGATTGTTTTCTCTAGCGGCAAATATTCCAGTGTTTATCAGTTTATATAATTTAGTGCTTTAAAATCCATTATTTAGCACAACACTGTGTTTTTCAGTTGTTTTCCTCCAGCACTGGTTTTAATTGTCATGTGCCAGTTGTATTTATTCTGTTTTGAAATCATTGTTGCTCATTCTAATGACGTCATCTACGTCTTCCCTTTCCTTCTCCTAGGCGTGTCTGTCGTTAATTCTTGGATAAGTAAAATGGTTTACTTTGGCTGTGAACGTAGTACCATACTTACACACACAAAGCAGGCTGTTGAAGTCTGTACGCACAATGCAAATTGGGTTACAAAACAAAGTTACAGGAAAGCATTTCACGGCTACCTTGTTGAGTGGGTGAAAAGACAACAGAACTAGTTGGGACATGGTGGTTCCCTACGCCCAGGGTGTGACCTGTAAAGGCAAGAGCTGATAGGAGTTTTTATATTGTGTTGTGGTGTTTGACTTGGCAGGTCTCAGGTGCATTTGTATGCGCAAGACGCATGTTCATTAAAACTTCTAACGTTTATTATCATTCTGTTTAATGCGCCACTGGGTAGTCTGAGTTTATCTGCGCCTGTAGTTAAACGATAACATCAAAAACCAGCTGCTGTGACACAAAAAAGTATGTACAGTAAATATCAATAAATTATGCACAAATTTACATAAGTCGATTCGGTTTGTCCCTGTTTATGCAGAAAAGATACATTCCCCCAGCCATCCACATGCATGCCTTTGAAGCACTATAAACCTATAAAGCATCAGAGGAACCTCCAGCTGTGTGGTGTAAGACAGACAGGTTTTGTCACAGGTAGCAGTTAAGGGCAGTTAAACTGGGCTCTCTCAGCGGGGCAAGCCTGACTGTTAGAGTGGGATTACAGGGCAGTCGGCCCCATAAAGTTTCTCCTGCGGCTGTAGCTCTGCCTCTCACGCTACCTCCCACACACACACCCACACGCACACTTAGTCCTACCACCTTTTCGTAGTTTTCACACGTAGTGTATATGTACTCATTTTTCAACTTTCTGTCCATATAGTCCCGATATAGTACGACAGTGCGTGCACACAGGTGCTCATATGCATCAGAGAGAGTGTGAATCAGAAGTTGTACAGTGTGTTTGAGACACATATCCTCCCCCTGGGTTAGGTGTGAACAGGCTGACAGTGTAAGGTTACTGAATAGCCTGACTCATATTTCCCATGACAGACTGACGAGAGACAGACATGTCTAATGATGGTGATCGTAGACTAAGGCTCCACGTGCGCGCGCACACACACACACACCCCAAATGGTTGTGCACAGTTTAGAGTGTGAACAAGGGGACTATCAGTATTTCAGCAGTGAAATATGCATGTAAAAATGATTAAGCTCGTTGCAGCTTCACCACAAAGAATGTAACCAGTGGAACATGACTCCATAGCATATCAGAGAATTTTCCCCTCTTACAACATGAAAAGGTATAGTGCCTCAAACAGGCCTACACAGTTCATGTTCTCTAGTCCTATTAAAGGTCTTAAGTGAGTGTAATGACATTCTTGGGCTTTTCATTGTCCCAAGTGAGGGAGGTGGCTGAGCAGTAAAGACTGAGGCTGTGACTGTGAGAAGTGAGCATGCAAGCAGGAGCCATAAAAAAGGGGAGGACAGACTATAGGCTTAGGGAGGGAAACCCAGCAAACCACAGGAGGGTATTAAGTATTGATGGTATCCATTCAGCAGTGGAGGTAGATATTAATCTTTCAGACTGTTGGAGAGATTGTTCTTTGTTTTAGCAGAGGACCTGTTTGCATCTGTTTGTTTTATGTTTGATGGCAGGATGGTCCTGGATATCAAGGGGTGAGCCACATGCGATGAAACATGTGCACGTGCATGTAGTTGCATATAGAGAAAGGTGTCAGGCAGGATAGTACTGATGTCTACGCCAAGAATAGGCAGATGGACCGTTGCGCTATGTGTGGGATGGTGCGGGAGGGGGCTTGTGGGTCTTGTGTGAGGCGGCGTTTGAGCTGGTGCCAGTGTAAAATCACAGGGACTTCCGCCAACAGACAGCAGTAAGAACGGCGTAACAGTCTCAGCTGTTGGCACTTCAAATGAGCCATCAACAGCTTTTAGCATTCCAAGACTCCTCAGCACAAGTGTCTGTATCGGACTTCTTTCTGTGAGTTATGGTATTTATGTATGTACGCTGTGCTGAATGCATATGTGTGTGTATAGCACCCAGTGAACAAGTCAGAGAGCGGCTTATCTCATGTCTTCTGTCAACATAAATCTAAGCCATTTCTACAAATCTCAGCTGCAGAAGCCAATTCCAACTGTCGGCCCCCCACCCCTCTCGTTTTTTTTATACAGGCTACTTGAGACTTCGTGATTAGCTCACAGTGATGTGATTTATTTATGTTTTTAGAGAGATGAACAGAGGGAACTTTTCCCACCAAGCATTTTGGCTCTGGACTTGCAGAATGGACATGGTAGACTTTAAAAGTCCAGGGAAGGGGAGCATGAGTGAGGCCTCATGCATTCTCACTGGTAGACCGTGTTCAACACACCCACATTTCTCATAGTAATTACAAAATGAAAATCAGTGCATAATATGTTCTGTGTTCTCAATGACATTTTTGTCATGCAAGATGTTATTTGAGTAAAGAAGGTACAACAAAGACTATCCACAATAACATTCATGAACATTCATGACAGATGCTAATATCTTGATCATCATGCTGTCTAAAAACATACAGACTTGGAAAAACATACAGACTGTCTAAAAGATTGCCATACACCACCTACTGTATTTCCTTTTCCTTTACCGGATTAAATATGATCCTGCACTTTCTTGCCTCATATTGTTTCCACTCAAGAGGATATTGATTTTGTAAACCATAATAGCAATATGTATGTGTCTATGGGTATAGTGTAAACTGAGAAGTCCCATTTTACATGGGTTTAGTTAACGTGCCATTTCAACTTCCCAAAGTACATTGCCAGATGTCTTTTGTCTACCATTGGTATTGAAATAGGCACACTGATCTGCCTATGTGAGGCAGAGCTCAGGTGTGGTTTAACCTGGCATTTGGAGTCCTGCTACCAGTCGGAGGACTTAGAGGCACTGTGGCAAAATGGTACCTAGAGTCAGTTTGAACCCATGAGCTGGTTCCTTCTTCCTCTCCCTGCACAGGTGCCAGGGCTTAGAGGGAGGGAACACCTGCCAGCCTGTTTCCCCATGGCCACGGCAGGCTGGAGAGGCATTTTCCCAGGCTCCCCAGATGAATGGTCACTAATAGCCGTGGGAGAGGGCTTTGCGAGTGCTGCACAGTGTACCACTGACTCCTTTTGGCAGGCCTATGAAGGGGGCTTAAGGCAGCCTGGACACGGCCAATGCAGGAAAAGCACAAGTGTTGCTGGATAGCTTTACTGCTGGAGAATGTGTTTACGAATGACCATCTCCCTTCCAATAAAGACTGCGGAGGATGTTCAGGGACAAGAAGGGAGATGTCTCACTTTTACTCAGCTCTGATTTAACTGTTGTTTGACTTAACCATGCATTTCAAGATCTACAGCCCAACAGTGAGTTTCTAATTAGGATAGGATTGTAGTAGCATATGACATTTTCTGTGCAGATATACAAAGCAGTGCACGTGCTGCTTGGGATCATTTTGAAGAGTGTTCGGCCTGGATGCAAACCTTTCTGCTTAGTACTGTGATGCTTCTTTTGAGGCAGACTTTTTATCAAATGTCATTAAGTGGTGACGGTCTGATTTAACACACTTTGTTGGTTTGTAATGTAACGTCAGCTATTATTATTTATATTAGCAACTATTATGTGGGAACTCGTCTGTAAATAGGGAAGCATGCCTGTGTGGTTTAGTTACCTGCCCTGCTCTATGTTACTGGGCGTGAGGCAGGCTGGGATTAAGGCAAGAGGGAAACGGAGACCTGTGACAGGAACAAAGGAATTCCAAGGCCTAGGCTGGAAATGGATCCTGATCAGAGTAGCCGCTCCATCCAGCCCACCTCTCTCTCTGCTTGCTCTCCCTCCCTTGGCCCCTGCCAGGCAAGCCCCTTCCCCATGGTGCTTTGTGGTGTTGCTGTGGCTCTTTAAATCCTTTCTCTAAGCCTCTAGCCTTACTCAGCAGCAACACATAGGACAGTCCGACTCCATTGTTAACCCCACTACCTATTATTTCTCACAAACACGCACACTTCTCTTATTTGTCTTTCTTTTTTCCCCCTTACATTTTATGCATTTATATTTATTATCGCCTCTTCTCTGCCTTCCATGTCTGCACTTCTCTGCTCTCCTAATGCTGTCTTTTTATGTTTCCCCACTTTCCCTGCTTCACTTTCTCCACAGGGTCAGCTGTAGTCTCTTAGGACACAACCGCAATCCCCACCATAGCTGTCACACCACACTCTTTTCCCATATAATTAGGGCCTGAGTCTTAGCCTGAGCATGGATCACATTCATGTGACTGTTCCCTTTTACCACAATCTGGTGTGGGAGACGGAACACACACACACACACTCTGTTGAACTCATGCTAAGTGTTCAGCCTGACCAGAATGCCTTGTTGCAGGCATTACTAAAACATGTCAGAGAACAGCAGTTTCGTGCCCTTTCACTTTGGAAGAAATGGGCTTATGTCACGTGCTTTTGTGTTTTGGTTTTTTTGTTGTTGTTTTTTCCATGGACAGGTGTTGTTATAGTAGTTTGCCTAATGCACTGTGTTTTGTCAACACTGGTGAGGTCATAATTGAAAACAATATTGCATTACACTTTCAAATTGTACATAAAGTAACAGTTTCTAGTTAATCCACAATCACTTAAATTGCAGCAGTATAACTTTAACATTTACATAAGACAGCATATCATGACAAATTTCTAGATTATGACTAGATCTTTGAACTTTAGCGTAACACGCTTGCATTTTTACGCAACAAATTCCAAGTAAT